TGCTGTGAGCTGTGATGCCACGGCACTCTACCCAGGGGAACAGATTGAGGCTCTGTCTCAAAAAAAAAAAAAAAAAAAGATAAAAACATGTAAATGTAGGAAAATGAGAGAATAAGACAATATATTAGAAACGTATATGATACCAGGAGTAGGTGAAATAGTTCAGAGAAGGGAAAAGATCCTTGTGGAATTCACAGAGAGTGGTCCTTGAATTTTTAGGGTCTTCAAATAAAAGGTTTAGATAGAAATTAGTACTTTTAGGGTGGCGCCCATAGCTCAGTGAGTAGGGCACTGGCCACATACACCGAGGCTGTCAGGTTTAAACCTGTCCCTGTACAGTTAAAACAGTGACAACTACAACAACAACAAAATAGCCTCCAGGCGTTGTGGCGGGTAGTCCCAGCTACTGGGGAGGCTAAGGCAAGAGAATCACTTAAGCCCAAGAGTTTGAGATTGCTGTGAGCTGTGACACCATGCATGGCACTCTACCCAGGGCGACATAATGAGACTCTGTCTCAAAAATAAAAAAAAGAAAGAAATTACTACTTTTAGGTGATTGGTAATAGCATGATCAAAAGCATAAAGAAAAATATGCATATGGGCTTGGCGCCTATAGCTCAGCAGCGAGGGCGCCAGCCACATAAACTGAAGCTGGCGGGTTCGAACCCAGCCTGGGCCTTCCAAACAACCATGACAACTACAACAACAAAATATCTGGGCATTGTGGTGGGCGCCTGTAGTACCACCTACTCAGGAACCTGAGGCAAGAGAATTGCTTAAGCCCAAGAGTTTGAGGTTGCTGTGACCTGTGACAGTATGGTACTCTACTCAGGACATGGAATAAGACTCTATCTCAAAAAAAAAAAAAAAAAAAATCCTTGACTAAAGATGAAATAAACAATAAAGACATCTGTTGTATCATTTAAGTGGATGATCTAGAAGCAGGACAGGCTGCAAGCTAGATCTTGACAATTCTTTTGTCTCTAGCTTAGGTGAATGCATTAGTCATAGGCACTATGTCCAGACACAAAATTGTATAAACAAAGAGGAGATCATATCTTCATCTTTGTTGCTTTCCTAAATTTGTTTTTTGTTTTTTTGTTTTTTTTTTTGAGACGGAGCCTCAAGCTATCCCCCTGGGTACAGTGCCATGGCATCACGCTCACAGCAACCTCCAACTCCTGGGCTCAAGCGAGTCTCCTGCCTCAGCCTCCCAAGTAGCTGGGACCACAGGCGCCTGCCACAATGCCTGGCCATTTTTTGGTTGCAGCCATCATTGTTGTTTGGCGGGTCCGGGCTGGGGATTCGAACCTGCCACCTTAGGTGTATGTGGCTGGCGCCTTAGCCGCTTGAGCCACAGGCGCCGAGCTGCTTTCCTAAATTTGTATCTTATGAGTGAGGATTGCTTTCCCTTCATGTATACAATCTCCTTAGCCATAATTTTGCATCTCATAGGCCCATTCCTAAGCCAGTTATTGATGAGGGAAATGGAATTGCTATAATAGCTTAGGCTAGCTCTGGTCAATAGACATATAAAGTGAGCTTAAAGTTTGTAACTTAAGTTTTTTTTTTTTTTAGTCACTTTTTTTTTTTTGAGACAAGGTCTCAAGCTGTAGCCCTGTGGTGTCACAGCTCACAGCAACCTCCAACTCCTGGGCTTAAGCAATTGTCTTGCCTCAGCCTCCCAAGTAGCTGGGACTACAGGCACCCACCACAACGCCCAGCTATTTTTTGGTTGTGGTTGTTGTTTGGCAGGCCCGGGCTGGATTCGAACCTGCCAGCTCTGGTGTATATGGCTAATGCCTTTGCCACTTGAACTATAGGTGCTGAGCCTTTTTAGTCACTTTAAGTAAAGTAGTTCCCCCTTATCTAAGGTTTTACTTTCCATGGTTTCAGTTACCCTTACAATTACCTTCAGTCAACTACAGTCCAAAAACAGGTAGAATGTGCACAATAAGATATTTTGAAGGAAAAAATCCATATTCACATAGCTTTTATTACAACATATAGTTTATTTTTTTATGAGACAAAGTCTCACTCTGTTGTCCTGGGTAGAGTGCCATGGTGTCAGCCTAGCTCACAGCAACCTCTAACTCTTGAGCTTAAGCAGTTGTCTTGCCTCAGCCTCCCAGGTAGCTGGGACTACAGATGCCTGCCACAACACCTGGCCATTTTTGTATTGCAGTTGTCATTGTTGTATAGCTGGCTTGGGCCAGGTTCAAACCTGCCAGCCTGGGTGTATGTGGCTGGCACCATAACCACTGTGTTATGGGCACCGAGCTTAATTTTTCAATTTTTAATAGCGATGGAGTTTTGCTGTTGCTCAGGCTGGTCTCCAACTCCTGAGCTCAAGCAGTCCACCTGCCTCAGCCTCCCAGAGTTACAGGCATGAGCCACCATACCCAGCCAATATTTGTATTTTTAGTAGAGATGGGGTCTTACTCTTGCCCAGGCTAGTCTCAAATCCTGAGCTCCAACAGTCCTCCTGCCTTGGCCTCTCAGAGTACTAGGATTACAGGCATAAGTCACTGTGCCTGGCCTTTCTTTCCTTATTAAAAAGTAGGTTTTTGTTTTGTTTTGTTTTGTTTGAGTGTCATGGGATCATCCTAGCTGTCAGCAACCTCATACTCCTGTACTCAAGCAGTCCTCCTGCCTCGCCTTCTGAGTAGCAGGGATTACACATGCACACTACCACACCCAGCTCATTTTTCTGTTTTTAGTAGAGATGGGGGGTCTTTACCTTGCTCAGGTTGATCTTGAACTCCTGAGCTCAAGCAATTCTCCTATCTCAGCCTCCCGAAGTGCTAGGATTATAGGTGTGAACCACTGTGCCCAGCTAGCGAACAGATTTTTTTGAAATACAAATCTTAATTTGGGCTTACCATATTTCAAGTGTTCACTAGATACATATTGTTGGTGGTTGTCTGATTAGACAGTGGAACTTTGGACTAATCATTTGGGAGTAGAACATATGTTGGAATCAACCATCATGACACTATATTGTAGTGCCAGGGTAGCCATTTTGGTCTAGGATAGGACCCCAGATTCTTCACTGTCAGTTACATGAAATTAGGGCAATCCACACCTCCCAATGAAAACACCTAACTCATTTTTATATGGAATCTGGTAGATGAGTTTTTGTCATTCCATTTATGTATGAACGCCACAGAGAGAAGATAAGTTTTTCCTTATGGAAAGGAATAGACCCTGTACACCACTATTGTTATTTTTCTCTTGACTTCCTATTCTAATATCCCTGACTTCTAATTTTTTAGTCTTTTATGACTGAAAATTTATACTAATCAAAAAATCATGGCTCGGCGCCTGTGGCTCAAGCAGCTAAGGCGCCAGCCACATACACCTA